CACACTTCATATGCACGTATGTAAAATTCATGAAAACCATTATATCTTCTATCAGATGAATCTGGCGCACCAGGTGTACGAATGAAAAAAAGCGAAAAGTTGAGAGCAGAGAAAAAGAAAGACTTCTATAAAATGGTAAGACAGAAGCTTGCAACTAGTACAATAAAAAATATCATGAGTTTTTAAATTTCATAATGCTCCAGTAGAAGCTAAAAACTGTAAACGAGACGTTGAGACATGACCTAAATAAGAATGCTATAAATAAAAAGCAGAAGACGAATGATTCAAACGAAAAGATGACAAATCCACACTAGAAGCTGCAATTTCCAGTACTTTGAGCTAATCCAAAACATATAGTCCCCCTTGCCTATGGCCTGTCCAAATAAGCTTCTGAGATTGCGGGTCCTGCACATAACAAGTAGAGAAAGAAAAAGAGAATAAGTGTCCTGACTCACATAATTGACTAATAGAAATAAGATTCAAAGTAAGACTAGGAATGTAATAAATATCTGGAAGAGACAAACAAGATGTAACAATTGAACCAATGCCTACTAATGGCATAGGAATGCCATTAGTAGTCACAATTAACACAGATGAATTGAGAGAAAAAGAAGAAAATGATGATAGATTAGGTGACATATGATTAGAGGCGCCAGAATTTAAGACCCACAAGGAGGGACATATACCTGAAGTACTAGAAGATGACAAACCTATATAAGAGGAAGCAGATATGGCATGTGGCTGTGAAGCAAGAAACTTTTGAAACTGCTCAAACATATACGGATCTAGTGATGGTGCAGCCACTGCATTACTAGGCTGGGGTGATTGACTACTAAATTTCCATGGAGGAATCGGAGATGGTAGTGGTGGCTGCTGAGGTCGTCATCGTTATTGTTGTTGTTGAGGTCGTCATCGTTGTCGTTGCTATTGCTACTGTTGGGTTACGGTAGTTTAACTTTTTTCAAAAGTAATGGGCACTGATCTTTCCAGTGGCCTTTTTTCTTATAGAAAGCACATTCATCAAAAGAAACCTTTGAATTTGAACTATTTTGATTATTATTCAGGGATCTTTGAGGCATTGCAAAAACAAATGGAGTAGACGTTGGAACAGTCCCTTTGTCTGCCGAGACTTAAGACGTATCTCCTGAGCTAAAAGATCATTGACCACTGAATCAACAGAAGGGAGTGGACTATGATGTAAAATTGTCCCACGCAATCCCTTAAAAACATGAAGGAGAGCCATCAGAAATTGAACTAGTCGCTGCTCATCTCTACGAGCTAAGGTGCAAATGCTCATAATTCGACGGACTTTGTAAGTGCTAACTGATCCCATAATTCTGACATGTCAAAATAAAATTCTTGAATACTCAAATCCTTCTGCTGAAAAGTATGAATATCTGTCTCTGATATTGTCTTGCAAAGTTAGACTGCGTGTATAGTCTTACCACATGATCCCAAACCTCTTTGGCAGTCTCATACTTTGCCAATTGAGCACCTATAGAATGCATAACTGAATTATCAATCCAAGTAATATTCTTCGAATTATCAGCCTCCCAAACATCCAATGATTCTACATAATCAGAGACATTATTCGTAGGTTGAATTCTTGTATCTGTAACATAACCCAACATAGATTTGCCCCTAAAACAATTCTCCAGAACATAACTCCAATA